ATTGGAACTTTTATAAACAACTCGTAAAAGTCTAACCATTTTATTGTTAATTTTATCTTAAGCAACACTTGCACCCATGCCCATTATTTATTATTAGAAGTTTATTTCGTTATTTTGCTAGTCGGTCCTATTTCAATATTTTTATAAACAAAAATCCAACTTTATTTTACATCTCGAAACTCGTGCAAGAAGTTCATGAAAAGTCTCTAAATCTTAGTAGTACCTTCTCTGTGGGAACGATCTCGATACTTTGTACCACTTTATTACTTGCAAGCGATCATAGTGTCGGCGTGCACTTGCACCGCCACTGTGGGAACATTCTGCCCACTAGGTGAACACGAACGATCCCTTCCTGTCAATATGCATGTATTCAATGATTTCCAAACTATTGAGGTGTGTAATTCTTAAAACTTTGACAGGATCCACCTCTTTTATTCTTCTAACAAAAAACTTCTTTTCAGATTCTTTTAAGAAAGGAACCCTGATTCTTGTTCTCTCCCATCTCAGCACTTGTTTTGTCTGTGCCACATGATCAGTTCTCTTAGAAGGTTAGGAAGTTGATTTTTCTTTGATTGGAGATTCAGGAATCGCTTCATTTAGAACATTCAAATTATCAAAGTCCTCCTCCTCTTGAATTTCATTAATTGAGAATTCAAACATCTCATCTATTTCCTTTTATAACTTTTGTTGAGACTAAATTCTATCTTTATCTGAATCTATATCAATCACATCATTAAGAAATTCATTCACAACATTCACTTCTTTCATCCTTGTATCAACAACCTCAGGTTTTTCAACCGTTGGTTCTATCTCCAGCTCCACATCTTCTGAGATTCTCTCCTGATTTTTGTTTTGGCCTTGAACATTTTCAGCACTTTGTACAGGTCCTTCATTCAATTGAGATAAATCAGCATCATTAGACTTATTTAGTCTTTGTCTCTTCTCCCCCTTATGATGATTAGGATCATCATCCACATCATCCTCATCATCATGTCTTTGTTTAGAGCTACTGGCCTGAGACTTACACATATCCTCCAGGATTTTCATCCTTTCAGATAGCGACTGTGTTGGTCCCAGTCGGATCTACAAGAGTTTATAGGTAACAGTTTGTAGAAGGCGGGGATGAATACAAACACAATAACTTTTACTTTTAAAAAACTTATGTTGATAAAGAATATCAATACAGATTTTTACAGATTGTTTGCGAAAAAGATAAGATACAAAATTTATCTAAACAATCAAAGAAACACACAAGTTACATATAGCAATAAAGGAAAGATTTGCTAAAAGAAAAGGTTAAGAAGTCTTGTGTTATTCACTTGTTAGAGAGTTAGAGATAGGAGTATCTTCTTGGGTAAAAAGATCTTCAAGGCAAGGAAGCTTGGATTGGACAGATGTATTGAGAAGGATGAGCTTCTCAGTTATTTATACTCATTGCATTTAATGCAATTCAGAAGATACAAAGCACGTGGCAAGCTTCAATAAATGAGCTTGTCCTTTGTTGCAAATATACAAGCTTTCACCGTATATTAACAGTAGACTTTCACAAAATAGGTAAGCACGCTTGGAGACAATAGAGTGACTCTATACAGTACTTTACTTGGAGAGGTATGGGTTTGTCCTTTGTGTGTAGAATAACAAGACAAAAACTAATCTTGTTCAACAAGATTCATCTTATCGCTGACACTGGAATAACGCTGAGGTTTCTTCAGTGTTCGCTGAATCTTGAGTAGATTTCACACTTGTGTAGACGAGCTTGTTGGGTATATAAGGACCCTTTTCAGGCAGTGACAAATCCAGCATTGAGATATATGGATTCTTTCTATCCTTGAAGAGTTCATCCACTAAGAATTTTGTTTCATGCTCGTTCTTGTTGGATGGATCATCTTTAGGTTCAGAAAGGTTCTTTCTTCGAGAGAGCTTCTGTGGCAGAGGAGGAACCTCGATGATCTTTGACACCTTGTTGAATAGGTTATTTGAACTTCTTCAATGTAAGCCTTATGCTTGGATTTGGATTTCTGGATAGCCTGTCGAATTTTGAGCCATTCGTAGAAACCATACTTACTGAGGAATGAGGGATACTCAATGACAGCATTGTTGTTCTCTCGGAATATGACCATTGAAATAAGAAAAGCATCATTTTTCATTCGACCACTAATAGTGACGTTTGAGATCTTGTTTGGGCTCATTCTTTTTTTTATCCTATCTCTACACCAGTTGAGGTCATGATCCTTCAACTTCAGCACTCGTTGACGTTCTCGTTCAGCTTTCGCTAAGAGTTGGGGTTGAGCACTAAGCGGATCTTTCCTCTTGAATTTCCTTTTAGCAAGTGCCTGATCAGCTAGAGTCTTGACTAACTCCAAGCTGTCTTTAAGTTGTAGATGATGTTTTTTCAGCTCTTGTTTAGCACGTTGGATTCTTCACATTCAGCTTCTGAAAGAAAATCAAACTCACCACATCCAGAGGTACGAAGAGGAATTTTTTACTCTAGATTGGTCGAGTTCATTTATCAATTGAGCCATCGTCAGGTCTTCTTCAACTTCTTAACACACAAGTTGTCTAGACGACTTCCTGGGTATTAGAGTGTTGGCCTCATCTTCATCTTCATTGTCCTCTAGGGTTTCAAAAAATGGGAGATGGGTTGAGAGACCATAGGATACTGCTTGGAAACTTTCTACTGCTTTGAAGATACCCAAATTTGAACTCTAAAAACCATTCATTTGCATCCACTTGTTCTATTTCATCACCCAATTGATTTACCTCTTTCTTTTCTTCAGGCTTGACAATCTCAACATTTTCACTAACAATTTCAATTTTTTCAACTTCATCCAAATCCATACAAACAACTTTTGTAGCTTCTGCATTTCTCTTTTCAGACTCTTCTTGAAGCTTTATTATTTCAAACATATCTACGTGGATATTAAAACTGAAATGGTGTTACAAGATCTTCAGGATGAGCCCTTTTTGAATTCTGATCACTTAAGCACATCTTCATACACCAGGATTGGTCCAGATATTCACTGTTTGGGCCCGGACCAAATTTTGTCCATGTATAGGTACAGTAGAAGGGGTATCTATGAAGGAGGTTGGTTGTTTACATGGGATACCAAAGTCGATAATATCGGATTGTGACAAGATTTTCCTTAGTAACTTTTGGAGGGATTATGACGGCTACAGGGAACCAAATTGAATTATAGTACAACTTATCACCCCAACGTGATGGGCGGACTGAGGTGGTTAGAGATTGCTAGGAGACTTAATTACGTTGCTATGCTAATGGAAGGCCAAAAAAATAGGCCACGGGTTTACCATGGGTAGAGTTTTGGTATAATACAATGTTCCATACCGCCGCCACTAAGTCCACTCTGTTTGAACTCCTATATGGCCAAAACCTTCAAAAAATAATCCCCTTTCCATCGTTTGAACCCAAGGTGGAGCAACTACTAGTCGATAGGGACAAAACTGTTGAACAGAACTTTGGAGGCAATTGTTGAGGACGCAACAAAAAATGAAGGCAACAACGGATAAGCACCAACTTGAGTGTCGAATTCTCAGAAGGGCGGGGGTTGTACATGAAAATGAGGCGTACCGACAACTTTCAGTAGATACATCTTACAACGTCAAGTTGGCTCCACACTATTATGGCCCGTTTATGGTTGCGAGTCCGGTGGGAGAAGTGGCTTACAAATTGCAACTTCCACCCGAAGCTAGTATCCATCCCGTTTTTCACATATCACAATTGAAGACAGTAGTTGGCAATCAGTTTTCTCCAACACCTCTGCCTCCCGAGCTGCTAGACACAGGAGAAGTGTTGGTTGAGCTGGAAACATTAAAAGGGATACGTTATAGTCAAGCAGCAACTTAGAAGTAATCATTGGATGGAAAGGGCTACCAGAAATTAAAGATACCTGAGAGCCTTACAAGGATTTATATCTATAGTTTCTAGAATTTCACCTCGGGAGAGGAGTATTGATAAACCTTGGTTAGTTGTAGACATGAGCAAGAAGAAAGTATATAAGGAAAGGGGAGTAAAATAGAGGGAACAGTCGTCATGGGAGAGATCTTGCTCTCAATTGTAGTAACTTTGTAATTCTTCTTTCCATTTTGATCATTCTACTCAATTTCAAATAAAATTTTATCATTTAACTAAGTTTCTAGATGCAAAAAAGTGAGAGAAAATGGTCAAATAGGATGAGGATTGAAATGACACAAGTTAGCGAGGGAGAAAGGCAAGATTAGGGGAATAGGATCATGCTCATGTAAGAAGCATAAATTTTTTAAAGAACCGTCGGAACTTGTATATCCAATAAATTGTTGCGTATACATTACCATCAATGCATATCTACTATGTATGCAAGTATATACGCATTAATGCATATGCTCATTGTATATGCAATATACAGCTTCTAACGGTTCTCAAATTTTGTGATTCTCACATGGACCGGCTCCTACCCTATAGAAAGAAGCAGACTAACTAAACGAAAGCTAACAATCCAATCCTCCATACTTTAGAGATAGATAGATCTTCATCCATGCAAAACCCAACAACCATGAACTAAAACCAACACAACTACCATCTATAGAAATGTTTGAAAGAGGTTATATATCTAAACAACAGCTACCCAATTACTATATATGTATCTATTCAAACCTTGGGGGGTTGAATTCTGAACCATGTTCTTTTAGACTCCTTATTTTCAGGTCACTACTACTGCCTTGTTGCTGAAGTTGGTGTTGCTGAAATTGGCGAAGTTGTTGCTGTTGAAACTGATGTTGCTGTTTCTGGGACTGAATCTGGAGTTGCTGAAACTGCTGTGCAGTAAGCAGTGTGTTCATGGCTTGGCTGTTCGGGTAAAACTGCTGCTGCTGGTTTCCTCCACCAAAAGATGGAGGGAAATTCATCAATGCACCACCATTCGTAAGGTTCTGTCCGGTTGCTACTTTCAGATGTTGGATCTCCTCTTTCAGTGCTTCATTTAAAGCTATAGAACAAAATTTCCAATAACTTGGTATCATATATAGCATTTAGGAATTCAATTATCCATGATATCTATCACCATGTTCCTCACGAGTAATACCCCTCCCAATTAACGAAGAGAAAATATTAAAAGAGTAATCTCAGGTGATTTCATATTTTCTTTTTAACATTATGTACTAAAAAGTAAGTTGTTTGTCTAAAAGAGTCCCACTTGATATTTTTTTCCTGAAAAAAGGAATCGTATTTTATAAAACTAAAACCAGGAAATTTTATGATCTATTTCTCTTAAACTGGACAAGCCTTAATTTGTATAAACCAAACCAAACAATCCCAGTATATCCCACCCCAACCCACAGCTAGTGAAAAGTGTGTGAAAGGAAGAATAGCATCTATAAGATAATGTAGATTTGCCTATTCCCAATCTCAAATGTTCTTTATCAGTTACAAACACTTGAAAACCAAAAAGAGGCGAATAAACAAGAAGTTGGCATGGAAAATATTCTATGAGGAGAATTAAAAACTTACCATCTTGCAAGTTAACCTGTTGCTCGATGGTTTGTAAGCGCAGTTTCAGCTCGCTGTTTTCAGCTGTCAGACCACTTGTATCTCTCTGAACAAATAAAAAAGAAACAAGAAACCACTATCAAACGCCTTAATCCATCAGGGTTGTTCGGAACAATTTGGATAAAAAAAATAAAAGAAGAAAAGAAAAGGCATGTAATTGTGGACCAAGTGATGATCAGAGGACCAGAATTGTATGAGAATGGCCAAACCTGCATAAGAGTGAGCTGAGCAGATAATGATGTGGCTTCAGTTTGCAGCGATTGGACTTTCCTTTCGAGCTCAGCAATGTATCTCATCTTTCTTTCCTTTGACCTTGCAGCAGACTGCCTATTTGCCCATATCCTATTAAAGGACAACCAGGTAAATTATAGTTGATAATTTAGATATATAAGATACAATTTACATAACTACTAATAACCTCAACATCAAATCTGTTGATTAAAGCTTTAACTTCTGACCCCAGTTGTTGTGAGTGAGCGTTTCATTGTGATTTCTTAATTACACTCTACATTGGTGTACTAAGAAATGAGCAAGGGTCAAAATCGACATGACCTTTAAATAAGTATTTGAAGTAGTTACTAAAACTGACTAGTGACAGGGAAGGTAGTTATAAACGTCATTAACGCACAAGCGGCCACTTAGAAAGGCTTACAAGCATCTCCAACAAAATCTCCATAATGGATATTTTAAAGTTCCTCTTTCCCCCAACAGAATCTCTAAAATGGAGAAAATATGAGACTCCATATTTGGAGGAGAGAGAAAAAATCTCCAAACTTGAATTTTGGAGATGAGAGAAGATAGAATAATTATTATTTTTACTTATTTGGAGGAGAAAGGAGGATAAAAAAATAAAATTATCAGTTTATAGAAAGTTTGTCGAGGTATTATGTACATTGAATATTTTAATAATATACTTAATGCTAGAATCTCCAAAACGGAGAAATTGTTGGAGTTGAATGTAATTTCTTTTCGAAGATTTATTTCTCTATTTTGGAGAAATTATGAAAAAGCGGTTGAAGATCCTCTAAGTACATCTATGAAAATATGATTTTTCCAGAGGAAATCATTAGGTAAGACCCATTAGCAGAAGCCTTTCATAAGAGATCTTAATGGAGGGGTTGAAAGAAATCTCTGAGGCTTTAGGTAGTAATAATAAATCAGGAGAGAAGTCTTCAATTTCGCAATGATATATGATTTGATGATCCACGTAACTCTGACCTAGTTAATTATCCAAAAGATTCTCCCTCAGCTGTCACGAAACCATACTAAAAACATAACCTATTAGTGGCAGATATCTACATTAACTAAATCTATTTTAATCATCAAATGTTAGAAGCAAACTGCATAGCAAATAGAAAGTTGATATGATGTGAATAAATAACAAATGTGATGATTTGCATATAAAGGGTAGTAAATGAGGTGGCTGCAAAGAAGCAGTAGAAGACACTTGGTTTAAGATGGGATAGAAAAGACACCCATTCCATTACCATTAGGAGTGTATCCGCTGTTTGTTTGAAAGACACTCATTCTATAGGAGTCCTGTAATATATGTCATTGTAACTAATAATCAACTAAATGACAATTTTACCCTTGATAATAGAGGGAGAAATGAATCTCTTTATGTCATAATTAAGGATAGAATTAGAAAGTAGGCACTTTTGAAAGTGGACACTTATTCTAGGGAGGGAGTATTTACGAATGATATTGGGTTAACTAGGCTATGCAATGTCTTAAGGTATAGAGACGCCTTACAATTTAAAGGTTTTAGATAAAGAATATAACAAAGTGCAAACAGTATAACCAGCAGTGTTGGCATTTGATAGGCATGTGTGAATAAGAAGCATTAGGAAAGGCTACGCTGGTACAGTGGTCAAAATTTGAAATAGCGGTCAAGACCATGATTTGATATAGCGATTATTGCAATGGTAACACAGTGGTATAATGGTCCACATATAGCGGTTTATGTAATCATTACAGAAATAAATAAATGTATGAATAGATGCATAACATAATATATATTTTGAAGATAAATATAAGAACAGGTGAATAGAAGAGATGAGCAACCAATGTTGGAAGACAATGTTGTTGTGAAGAGAAGATGCAAAATATAGACTGAAATAGAAGAGATGAGAGAAGAATAGGGAGTTTACACACCAATATTGCAAATGAAAATCAGCTCCCTAACTCGTAATCCCTTAATCGACTTCTCTAAACCCTTTAAAAGGCTAACTTAAAGCCCAACTCCTAATTGCGGTTTTCACACCGCTATTGCATGTCAAAATTGCGGCCCAAATGCAGTTATTAGCGCCGCTATTAGCGGAACCGCTATTTCTTCTAGGACCGGTAACCGCTATAGCACTGCAATTAACAGCATAGAGGGAAAGAAATTTTGAAAAACTAGTATAACCTCTACATCTCTGAAGGACTTCAACAGAGTACCAAAGAAACCTTCTTTAGAAAAATCAGAAAATTTGAGTAACAATTTAACAGACAGATTAAGGGGAAGTTTACCAAACACTTACCCAATAAGCGGTTACCGGTAAAATCCAACTATCATTTACTTACCGGAAGATTGTAGTCAACAAAAATGGCATAATATGCACAAAACTTTATCTGGTAAGCGCTAACCGTGGTAAGAGTTGTCGCCCTCACTTACCGGGCAAGACTCTCGGTCATTGCCTCGCTCCTACCGGGTAAGATTCTTGGTCCTTGCCATATTCATCCGGTAAGGTAATGTGAGTTGGTAAGCACTTACCCAGGTATGCGTTACAAATCAAACCAAACTAAACAGATCCGATGAATCCCACGCACAGGTAGCTGTATTTTTTTTCCCGGGGGGGGGGGGGGGGGAAGAGATACAAACCTTACCTCTAACTCAAGGGGAAGAGAAAATGTTTAAGGCAGCCATGTCCATCCTGGGCCTGCTCATCCTACTTCCTCCTAGACTAATTAGGACTAGAAATAGAAAATTCTAAAAAAAATTCCACAGTTACAAATTACAAGTAGAGGTGACATAATTGGCAGGATGGGCAGATTGAATAATATACGTATAATTGAATACTACTACGCTCTAAAAACCATATATGCATGACAAATAAGTACATCAGATACCTAGAATATCTTCATGCATACCCAGAGGATCTGACCCATATTTGGCAAAAAAAAAAAATCAATCTCAGTAATTTGTTTATAATCAATATCCAAAGAACGGTTAATTTTGGTTTTACATCAACGAGAAATGCCATAATCAGTAAAATCTAAAAAATTACAAAAACAAGAAGGTTACGAAGATTTCTATCTGAGACCTGTTGGTTGAATTGAGTACCCATTTAAATGAGACTAAAATCTGTTTCATGTAATAAAATCTGAGGTCAAGCTAACAAATCGGATTACACACACAGACATATCAAAATAAAAATAAAAAAAGTGCATATCAAATCTGGTGTTTTGACATCAAACAGAAGCAGTAAATGACGTAAAAGAAACCGTAACTTTAACAAACAAATAAATTAACACAGAAGAGGGAACACAAACCCTAAATCTCCATATGGGAAGAATGAACCCTGAAACGATGGGATCGCATGAGCAAGAGATAGTCGAGAGGGGGGAGTAGAAATTTTCTTGAGAAGACCTATGAGAACTCACTTGATAGTCTCATTCCCCTTACCCAATGGACCCAATTAGTTTTAACTAAAAAATTTATGTTAATCCATTTGAGCCATAGAATAAATTGTATGAACCAAACAGGCCCAAATAGTTAAGAAAATAGGTTGCTTGGGTTGTATAAATAACTTTTTGGGCGGGAACTACCAGTACTAGTTTAACTGATATGAACATAAATAACAAACTAAAATTTTAACGGTTCATGAGTAATCATTTAATAGTTCAAACTTAAAAGAGTAAAATAACAGCTACAAATAAAAGTTCAAGTAAAGCGGTAAAAAAAAGATAACATGTTGACAATTCAAAGAGAAAGAGGGAAAAGAGGTGCAAGAAATAGGCAGGGGGGAACCAACATGCATAAAATTAGAACACAAGGAGCCAAATGCCAACAGTTAGATCAATCTTGGACTAAAATATTTCACACTACACATTATCCATATTGCAAGTGGCACTGGTTTTTTTCTTTTCCTACACATCGCCTCGGTATGACACCAAGACTCATTTTCACCAGGTCGTGCACACATTAACTACTATTTAGACAAGATGAGTATCCACAATTACAAGCATAAGGTGCATGTGTGACACATATTGAAAGAGAACTAAGATGACATTGTATGCATAGATTACAAAATAGAACTTCTATCAAGACTAAGTCATTACGAAAGATAAAAGTTAATCTAGGTCAAAGTAGCAAAGAGGGTTTTGAGTGAATATGTATGCCAAGGATGTGGGACATGTTATTCATGTTTTTAGGAGGCTTGCCACTTTATAATTTCTAAATGGTTTCAACACTTTAGCCTACCCCACATGTTTGAAATATATGGCTTGTTTTTTGGTTCTCCACTATAGCCTATCCCAACTAATATGAAGCATCAGAATTCTCCTTGTTGGATTTTGAGAAAATTTCTTCTCAATCACATCACATGTACCATGTTCCATCCCACCATTTAGCAACTTGAAAAACATATTATAAACAGTTTGACACACTCAATCCGTATTTAAACATTACTCAGAAAAGTGTACTTCTGTTAAGGTGTTTAATTTTTTTTTTTACTTTCACCTCGATATTTCCTGCCTGAACTTATCTTAGCCTACTTTCTCTCAATTCCTACATTTTTATCACTTTTTGTACACACCCAATTTTCTTTACAGAAACTGCCTCAAAAGTGTTTCAAAACATTCAAAACTCCCAAAAAAATTACAAACTATATGCTTATAGTTGAGTTGGTAGCAGGTTTCTTTATTGTCCATTTGTCCTATCCACCCTAAATCCCGTAGGTGTGTTTTTAATTTTTGTAATTCTATTTTAGTTAGTTAGGTGTTTTACGGCCAATGTGATTCTATTTTATTAAAAGTCAAAGATCAGTTATCTATAGATTTATTATCTCACATATGTTTTAAAACTTTAAATATTTATTTTTAATGTAGTAATAAAGAATTTAATAAATATATATATTTGAAAAAGAAATTTTTAGGTCCACATGTAACTTCTCGCACTAGGCCTCCAAAATGTCAGGACCAGTGGTAACCATGTTTCATGAAGCCAGCCAAGCCACAAAGGTCCACTGTTGTAAAAGAGTACAATCTTTCACCTTATGGTTGTTTGTCAAAGATACATAATTTTAGCTAGCCCAATATTAAACAGAAGTCAACCTTTAACGAAGCATCATATGACAAAGTTCTTTTCACCATTTTTTTTTTTGGAAAACAACAAAATAACTTTTTTGCAATAGTAAAAATAGCAAGCATGCTATAATTGTAAATATATATCGGAACTTTGATAAATGGTACAAAGGAGTATAATATTGAAATGGTATATGTACGTGTTTTTATAATCAGTTAGACGTCATATCTCAATATAAGCTATAATGAAGAATTGAAGACTTCTACCCAAGCCTCATTTTTCTTTACATTTTCTTCTCAATGGATCTCTAAAAATCCAAATTGTTTGTACTTAACATATCAGGAATGCATCTCATATCTTAGGCCAGGCTAATATCACATGGTTACCACATCCAACCAACCATGAAAAACAACTGGAAATCAACTACTTTTTATCTGGAAAAAAAATATAAAAGCAACTACAACCTCCCTCTGTCTTTCCTCAATAGCAAACAAGATTATGGATTCTTTGTAAAATGCTTCAATCTCAATCCCACCACAACCTATTGAGCACACTTGTCCAATCTCTTGCCTTCCTATCTAGCCTCGTATAGTCTTGCCATCATTGCCTAACTATATGGGGTAGATTAATTGCTTGAATAACTTGCCCTATATAATACTATTGGTTATAGAATTTTCTGCAAGAGTTCGTCACGCAATATTTAGGATACCCATAAACAAAATACCAATGAGCACACAGTTCCTGCATATGGAATATGTCCTGGAATAAAATGGGTAATTGGAGAAACAAGATGAAGATAAAGTAACAGCATGTTCTCAAAAATAAACATAGCATAGTTAACTTCTAAGAACTTAACTAACATATATAAGTTAAAAATGAATAATACTGGTTATTGTTATCTAAGTGATCACATCAAGAAACCACTACTCCAAAATGATCTTATACTTTTGAAAATGATTTTCCACATTTGAGTTGAAAGTCTAGTGATTATAAATAAATAGTGAAAGGAAAAGAAATCAAAATTATGTATTACCTTTTTGCACGCTTTGGATCAACAAGAGCAAGCTCAGCAAGCTTGGCAGCAGACATTGATTTCTTAGCATCAGCTGAAGATGTTTCTTCTGGACCTGAAGTGAGCATTTCTGGCTTAATTGTAGAAGACCCATCCATGGACTGACTATGCTGATGTCTAACTCTAGGCCTCTCACTGGAGCTAGGAACAAGGTTCTCAGGTTGTGGTGTTGCAGCTTCTGAAGGTTGGACCGCAGAAGAGGATGAATCACCCTCTTGAAAACCAGATGAAGAATTTAACTTATCCATGTCCAGATACATAGAAAACAAATCTTCTTCAGTTTCGTCAGAGAATGAAGGTCCATTGAAGCCACCCACAACACCAAGATCACTATCAAAGCTAATATCATCAGGTAGAGTGAGAATTTCAGAGTGGGCCCGTCGGTGGCCCAAATGCTTAGGTGGGTTATCAGGCATTCTGCTAATATCATGACTAAAATGGCTAGATTCCAAAGGCATTTCATGACCACCAAATCGACCAGTTTCACCAGTTCCAGGTCCAACTGGGGGCAATGTGGTTGATACTGATGGCTCTGGTTTGGGACTCAAATTATTTCCAGATGGTGAAAAAACCGAATGCCTCCCAGAAGGAGGCAACAAACCCCCACCAACGTTTGGAGATTTATCCTTCTCCATTTACAGCAATAACCAAACACAGGATGCTTAGAATTCCAGACCAGAAACCCAACTTCTTTTTCTTGTCAAAACCCAAATCCCACAGGTGGGACTCGTAAAACCAACAACAACAACAACAGAGCAGCTAACAGTTGTTTCTAATTCAAATTGAAACCCTAGAGATTATAAAAATCCTGCTAAAATCCCAAAGGTAACAAATCTTTCTCTTGAATCAAAGCCTGCAAATGTTTTATCAACATTAGAATCAAAACTCAAAAAAATGCAACCGAATACGAATCACTCGGAAAAATTCGAAAATAAAAAGAAAAATTAACAAGCGAAAATGTAACAAGTCAATGAGCTTCAAGAAAGCATATAATTAACATAAAAGTGACTATTAAAAAGGGGAAAAGCGAAGCAAACCCTAGAAAGAATAAAAGCTAAAGTTAAGAGAAAGGGAAATGAAGAAACAGAGATTGGAAAAAGTGCAAAAATTCTTACTTCTAATGATGGAATGGAGCTTTCTGAAAAGCAAAATTGAGAAATACAGAGCGAATCAACGGCTTTTCACATGCTAAATCGAACAAACAAGCACATGCCGAGGCTAAAGATCTGAGATGCGAAGCTTCTTACAGAACACACAGGGACTATGCTAATGCTATCGTCAGACCATTTATGGAAGGGACCGATAGTATTTTTTTGGCTTCCTTTGGAAGGTAAGTAATCCATCTTCATGTCACAACCCATTTTCAATCTTTTTGTTTTAATCTTTTACACAAACAACGATTTTGTTGGCATTTTCCATTTAATTTGATTTACAAAAACCTACACAATTATATGTAGTGATTGAGTTATAAGCTAAGAGGGTGTTTGGGATTGCTTATGTTTTTCTATAAAATTGCTTATTAACTTATTATAAGTTAGAATGTTTTAACTTCTTCAAAAACTCATTATTACTGGTTTGACAATGGTATAAGTTGTTTATCCACTCAAAAGTGCTTATTATCGATATCACACCAGAATAAGTCAACAAGTTGTTTTTATAAGCAAATCCAAACACCCCCTAAATAACCCGACAATAATACATTGAATAATTCAAGCATTTGGTAAAAATTACTTTGAATTCAGATATTTAAAACCAAGTCAAATTTGGCATCCGATCTTTAATTACCTATGAAGCTCGTCTTGTACTATCGTAGATCTAATCCTTGCATAAAAAGTCATATTATGAATTTGGACTTGCAAGATCGGTGATTGATTGGAAGTAAATGAAACCATTTATTCGTTAAAGTGAAGGACCTTAGCCTATTCCTCTACTCCATGAAAAAGTGAGTCAACTTAATGAACTGTGAAACACCCCACCACGCACTAAACAGTACTAATAATCAAAATATCATACATTTTCACACATCATGTGCCAATATTATACAGACCTTCCAGGTGCATTTACATATGACAAAATTAACGGTATGGGTTAACAAAAAATTTGTCATAATAAAACTTTCTTACAAATATTTCTCCTTACATCTTCCCCTTGCCTTTATCCTAAGATGATGGATGACCTGCAAAACAATTTAGTACAATAATTGAGGGTTGGACCAAAAGGTCTAGTGAGTGAATTACCCTCTTATAAACATAATTTACTACAAATCCCAAGATGGTTTAAACCTGAACTTTAACATAAAATTAATATCTTGGTTATCATGTCAATCCATCTATCGTGGTTACACCGTCATTTCATCTATCGCGGTTACACCATCATTTCATCTATCGCGGTTATACCGCCATTTCATCTATTCAATAGTCAACCAGGTAATACTTAGTTTTGGAAGAGATTATGGTACCACTTTGTCCTATCCGGACAGCACTATGTCCACAGAGGAAGTTACCGGACAACATTTTAACCTTATTCGGGCAACATTCTGTCCGGTCAAGGGGTTATCGGACAACATTATGTCCGGTGAAGGGGTTATCGGACAACACTATGCCATGTCCGGACAACACTTGGTATCCGGACAACCTTGATCGATGAGGGGTCTTATCCGGAAAATCCTTGATCGGTGAGGGGTCCTATCCAGACAAGCCTTAATCGGTGAGGAGTCCTATTCGGACAATACATATTCGGTGAAGGGTCCTTACCGGCTGACCTTGTGTGCGATGAAGTGGCCTCATCGGTCACTGCCTTATTCGATGAGGGACCTCATCAGACAAGCCTTGTCCGATGAGAGTTGTTCTTGGGAGGTTTAATGGGCGATGAAGCAAACAGCAGCAGTAATACAATTTAAAAATTCCATCCAAACAACATATGCTAGAATTTTATCAAGATATACAGTGATATCATAACAACCAGATATCCGAAGCAATATAGAACTCACCTTTGCCTTAAAATTCAGCTTTGAAATCTGCTTCTGCTCTATGATCTCCCAAGTTTTTCCCGGATAAATATTTAGAGAAAGGAAATTGTAAAAACTTTTCCTACATCACACATACAAACTATAAATAGTAAGTAGCAAAGAAGAAGAGATGGGGGCGGTGCATGACCAGACACCCCCCAATGCTTCCAACCATTATAATATTAAAATATTTTAATATTAATCATAATCTATGAAGAAACATACGCTAAATTCTCTAAAACCCTTAAAAGATATAATTTATCCTCAAACTTTCCATTACCAAGATACTTTAAAACCCGATCAACTATATCTGAAAACCGAATATTACAAACTGGCAAGACGCGAAGATCGATTGATCAATATGAATCTCGAAAGTTGATGGTTGATTGCACCTCCTTGTTAGTTTCATTTTTCCCTTTTGATCAAAGTTCTTGTTTTTCCTTGTTTGGTCTAAGATCTAATACCTCTCTCTATGAGTAGTTGATAACGAAAATTTGTATTGTCTTACAAGCACATGTCTCCCTTCAAATCTGCAATAATTTCCATCTTATAAATTTCACAGTTTTAATGAGCTTTACTAAACTAAGCATTTGTGATCATGTGTTTGGATGTTAAGGATGTCAAGAATTTCATTCGACACATGGAGCACTACATTGAATCATTCAACTTATAGGAGAAAGTGAGTTTGTACATAGTAGTTATTTACTTGATTTTGACGTCGCTTCTCTTTGGTAACGTAAAAGATATTGAAATACAAAGAGGCGTTATCGCCATTGATAAATTAGATGTCTTCAAAGCTGTGGATGCCAGATGTTTAATCAATCATCGTCTTCATCAAGAACATCAAAAATGGCAAATCAAGAATTGTAGAAAGTAGATGAATATTGATAGAAAAGTCAACAAGTCAAATCTTGAATATTATCTTCAAAGCATCTTACAAGCTCTCTCTAATCTTGATTATTACAATTAAGCTTCCTACTAAAAACAACTAATACTAATCCTATTTATAGGACAAGATAATACAAAATTATAAAGAAGAAAAATACAAGATTGAATACAACACTTTAGCTCAAAAACTCAAACCCAACAAAAGCATCATTGATTAACGTATGGAACCCCAAAAACGTTATGTATGAGGCATGTAGAAGGATACAGGAAATGAGGCAAGAATCCATCCATCACTACATTTAGCGTATGGTGCTGATTTTGATAGGAATGATCTTGGTAAGAATGGTCACTTGTTTATCAGAACCCCGAGACACTACAGTCCTTCCTTGTCATCACATGGTACCAATTGAGCTTTCAGCACTGGAACAGTCATAAAAGCAGGTTTTACATTTAGATTGAGATTCAGTTGAGCTTTCAGCACTTGATTTAGAAAATTCTTTTATTTTCTTAAGTAACTGGTCTCTCTCTTCAGCAACTAAATCATAATTCTTTTTAAGTTCAAATATCATATTTGTTGATCCTCTCTCTCAGTGATTTGATGATAATCCCTTTTCACTTGTACGATGTATTTATGTTTCTGTATTTTCAGTTCCAGCAATCTTCACTGATTATGWTCAGTGATCGCTGAAGAACTTGCATTGTAATTCTATCAGAGACAGCAATACTTCAAGAAGACAACACTCACACCAATGAACCTTCAGCAAACATCGAAGACTGAAACTGAATATTAGAGTCCGACGAGTACATGATCTAAAGCGGTACTCAGTGATTACAAGCCTGTCTACATATGTGTGAAGACTACTCAAGCTTCAGCAAATGATGATGAGACCTTCAGGTCATTCCAGCATTCAGCGATCAAAGGAAGCTTTCTTAGCACGATTGTTGTTGTCTTGTCCTTATGTACACAAAGGACAAAACCCATACCCTTACAAAAGTTAGTACGGTACGGAGCCGACTAGTCGACTCTTTGTCCACCAACTTTAGGTAAGGATGTCTGCTCAAG